ATATTGATTCTTCCAATCCAGGAGCATGGAATATCTTTCCATTTTTTAAAGTCTTCTTTAATTTCCTTCATCAGTGGTTTATAGTTTTCTGTGTATAATTCTTTCACCTCCTTGGTTAGATTTATTCCCAGATATTTTATTACTTTGGGTGCCATTTTAAAGGGGACTGTTTCTTTACTTTCTTTTTCTGTTGATTCATCGTTAGTGTAAAGAAATGCAACTGATTTTTGAACGTTAATTTTGTAACCTGTTACCTTGCTGAATTCTTCAATCAGCTCTAGTAGTTTTTTTGTGGACCTTTTAGGGTTTTCTATATATAGTAACATGTCATCAGCATATAATGACACTTTAAAGGGGGTTAAAACTGGAAGCATATATAATTGTTTAAAAATAAAAATTAAAAATGTAATAGATAATAGAACAGATATTAAAAAGATTTAAAAAAGGGGGAGGTGTGCTTGTGGAGACTGTACACTCTTAATGATATTATTGAGAAGTCTTTCTGTCTTCGTCCTGTTTTGCAAACTCAGCTTGCTATTTCCAGAAGCCCTCTGTTGGCGCCCCTCATCCGTGCTGCTCCCAGTGCCTGCTGGCAAGCAGATCATGCCCCCTGCCAACACTGCAGTCAGGTGCTGCTCTCCTTCACGGTGGGCAGGCGGGTCACTCCCCCTCCCGATGCCACAGTCAGAAGCTGCACTCGGTGTGGTAGGCGGGCAGATTGCTGCCCCCTCCCAGCACTGTGGTTAGGTGCTGCACTCCTGCCAGGAAGGTGGGTGGCCACTACAGGTCCACACTCCGTAGGTGGGCTGGGAAAGACCGCGGAACAGCGCCGCCCCTGCTCCACACCAAAACTCAGCTCCTTGTTTGTCTTGGTAGCTTGAGTTCTCTGAAGTACCAGGGCAGAATGATCCTATATGCCTCCGGCTGGAAACAAGTCTCTGCCTGGCCTTTGAGGTTGCTAAGCCCTTAGGTATGGATTCAGGTTTCAACCCTGCCCCAACCTGGTGCCCGAGCCCCGCCTCTCTTTGCCCAAAAACCTTCCACGGGTTTTCAGAGATGGGGATATGGCATCCTTCCCCACCGAGGCACATCAGCTGTGTTGTTTTATGGAGGGCCCAGGTTTTCTGACCTTTGTATCCCCTCATCTACGGTGCACAGCACCTTGCAGTTCCCCAAGGCTGCCTCAGTGCAGCCGCCCCAGTCCTCCACCTGGCTTGGGCAGCATGTTCTGGTCCCCAGCTGCTGGCTCGCATCTCAGGCTGGGTGTCACAGGGACCCTTTGTGCCCGTTTAACTTAGTTCTGTCAGTCAAGGGATGCTCTGTACAGATCTGAGCCTTGGAGGCTCCGCCTCCATCCCACTGGCCTCTCCGATGGAGAAGGGTAAACCCAGCAAACAAGCATTAGTCCTCCTTTGCTGCACCCTCCCCGTGGGACCGGTCCCGCACTGTTTTGCCTTTTCTTCTTTCTTTTTTCCTTTTCTTCTACCAGATTTTTGGTGTCTGTCTTTTGAAGAGGGTGATGTTCTGTCGGAGTTCCGCAGGTGCTCTGGTTGGCTGAGTGGGTCCGTGGATGTGAGTTTTGGTGTATTTGTGGGAGAAGGTGAGCTACGAGTGTCCTTCTACTCTGCCATCTTGGCCCCCTTCCATCTTAAATTTTTAAATGCACAACACAGTATTATTAACTATAGGCACAACATTGCACAGTAAATGTCTAGGAATTATTCATCTTGTATTACTGAAACTTTGTACCTGTTAAAAGGCAACTCCCCATTTCCCCTTTCCCCAGCCCTTGACAACCACCATTCTACATTCTCTTTCTTCTACGAGTTGGACTATTTTAGATTCCTCATATAAGTGGAGTCATGTGCTATTTGACCTTCAATCTGGCTTTTTAAAAAAAACAACAACAAGCAAATGATTTATTTGCAACACAACCCAGTCCCCATTACTTCAATACAGCATGGGCATAGAAAAAAGTCACACTGCAATCGTTTTGTCCAAGACAGAACTCTATGCTTCCCAACACAGCAAGCCCATATTTCCAAGAGACCCATGCCCAGAGCCAAATGGAATACACAAGCATGGGCAGTTCTTATGTTGCTTCCTCTGGGAGGATCCCCTGGACCAAAAAGAGGTCTTGTCTTTGCATCAAAAGAAACAGAAACAGCAGGTGAGACAAGGCAGCATGCCCCTTCTGCTGTCCAGGGCTGGGAACAAGATTGTACTTATCTGGAGGCTGAGGTAGCTTAAAAAGAGAAGTCCATCCCAGGACCTGCTCCCTTATCTTATCCAGTAGGATGAAAAGAAGCAGTCCAATCTGGCTTATTTTACTTAGCTTAATATCTTCCAGGTTCATCCATGTTGTTACAAAAGGCAGAATTTCTTTCTTCTTTAAGACTCAGTAATACCCCAATGTTTGTATATACCACATTTTCTTGATCCACTTATCTGTTAAACATGCTCTAGGATAGACCATCTGTTAGGCTGAAGCAGTGTTTTTAACAGGGAAAATTGGTGGGGAAGATCTCCAAATTCATCTGCAGAAGAATGGGTAACTAAATTATAAATCTCAATACTAAATAATGAACTAGTTTTATAATCAACATGCAATGACACCCAAATATAAAACACTGAGTGGAAATGTAAGTTGATGAATGCATTATACAGTAGGCCATTTTTCTAAGTTTTAAAAGCTTCCATAAATACAGTATGTTGTTTACAGTCAGATGCCACACAGTAAGAGAATAATGCTTGATTGGGAATTATATACTCTATAATAATAATAATCATTATAATAATGTCATACAGATACAGGTAATGGAAAGAGAAGCCGCCTCCACTGCTCCATAATTTTATTTCTCATTTTAATAAAAATATTGACATAATTTTCGGTAACATTTATGTTATTTCTGTATCATTCTGTATATATGAAACAAACATTTAAAAAAATATGGGATGCCACAAAGTGAATTAGGGGTACCCTGATAATTTTTTTAGGGGTACCCTGTTAACTTTCAACAGTCAAGTCATCAAGGATGCAGAGATTTGATAATTCAAGGCTCCAGGATGAAATAACAAGTTTTATGCAATTATCCCCACTCATTCACATGTACATGGACAGGAGAACAAAGATCAATATGCATGTAAGGTCCAGAAGCTTCTGAACGTTATTTCCATGGGAACAGCTCTGGAGGAAGATCTCCCAATTTCTCCTGGAATGCTTTGTCAAAGGCTTCAGCTTGGGCCACTGTGAAGTAATTTTTCCAGTCCCCAGAAATGCCTACCAAACATAAAATAGAGACTCAGGTCAAATCTAGGGATAGGTCCCAAGACCCCAACACATATCTTCCTAGATCTATTTCTTATGTCTACTTGACTTGGAGATCAGAGCTAATATAGCAGAATGACCATTGGTTATTTTGGGGAATGTGGTTCATCCTATAATGTTCTGCCTTCTGGACTCCCCATCCCACACCATTCCTATCCTTGTCACATGCGAAAATACATTCACCCATCCCAACTGGCCAGAAGTCAACCCATTCTAACATCAACTCTTAAATCCAAAAATCTCATCTGTATGTCCTGTAAATGAGGCATGGCTGAGACTCAAGGCATGATCCACACTGAGGCAAGATTCCTCTCCAGCTGTGAACCTGTGAAGCCAAACAAATTGTCTGCTTCCAAAATAAAACGGTAGAAAAGGCACAGGATAGATATTCCCATTCCAAAAGGGAGTGATCAGAAAGGAGAAAGGGATCATGGATCTCAAGCAAATCCAAAACTTAGCAGGGCAAATTCCATTAGATTTTAAGGATTCAGAAGAAGCCTCTTTGTCTTCATGCTCTGACCTCCTGGCCCACTGGGATGGTGTCCCCCTCTGCCCTGGGTGGCAGCCCCCACCTGTTTGAGGTCTTTTGAATCATTTAATTTCTTCCTTCCATGGATTAGCATCCTGGACATATTTGAACTATTGGGTTCCAGGGAAATGGGCTCCTCCCACTCCATGCAATAGGTACTGTTCATTCATCTTGAGCCCGAGGATATGGAAATGATTAACCTTTCATCACAGAGGGCTTTACAATGTCTGATAGCAAGATAGACTCTTAGCTAAGTGAAAAGTCTCTCCTTATTCCTTTTTCCAGTTGAATTATTCTTTATAATTTTTTTTTTGTTCATGATATTTCTCTATGCTAAATCACCAGCAGAGTAGCACCAGCACGACCTCTCCCAATCCTGTCCTTATTTTTCAGGCCAATCACAACTGGCAAATTGGCAAAAGTAGTGAATTAATCTGGTTACTGTTTGTGGAATGTGTATCTCCACGTCATGCTCTGAGGAGAGACTGAATGACCTCTCATAAGTCAGATGACCATGCCAGGCCTAATAAACTTTCTCCAAGTGCCTACAGACCACATCAGTACTATAAAAAGAGACCCCCTGATAAGGACTCATATGAGAAGTTCTCAAGTGATGAGCAATTAAAGTCGATACATTCAAACAGTCCGTAGTCCCAACGGTGAGTACCCTCTTGCAAGCACAAGAGTGCCCTCCGCATATTCTGATACATCCTGAAGGCAGACCGTTTTCTTTTACCTTTTCTCAAAAGACTTGCATTCTCCGTTAAATGCAAACCCCTCAGGAGGGAAAAATTGGACATTTTGTTCTCCTTCATGGCCTGGAAGGAGCTGTTCTTGAGGACGGAGTCTAGTTCTTCCGGCTCTAGTTTCTTGCCCAGGAATTGGCAGATCTTCTCCACAGTGCTTCTCGTGTCCTAGAAGAAATAAGAAAAATAGGAGTGTATGAAAGAGAAAGAACATAGCAAAGGAGATGAGAAGGAGGAAACAGCAGGAAGAGGAGGAAGAGGAGGAAGAGGGGGAGAGGAAAAGGGAAAAAAATGCACAGAGATGAGAAGGAATTGAGTTGGACATGACCAGGAGGACGAAAGGGGGAAAGTAAAGAAGGAAGATGCAGTGTGTAAAAGATGGGGAGATCACCACCGATTTCTCAGTATTGCTGAGTTCAGGGCACCTTAACAGTAAAACATAGGACCTGGGTTTTCTAAAGTGGCTTTGGAAGGGCCTCTAGACAATTATGATCAGGATTGAGCAAGGAGATGTTCAGGGAGAACTTGGCAATGATTTAAGGGGTTGATTTCAAATCCTAGCCATGTACTTGAATAGTACTGTTTTCCACAACTAACATTTGAATAACACAATAGAGTTTTACTATATCACCTCAGATATTGTATTAATAAATCGTACTTGGCACCTGATCCTGGGAGATTATTATAAGAAGATGGATTCTTAAAACTAGAAAAGTTTCATTTTGAATCATAGATTTTCCTCTTAGAGATAGAATTCTTTAATTTTTTTCTTTATTCCATGAGCCTTCAATATGATCTAACAAAAAAAAAACCCATACAACTGTAGAGATGACTATAATAAAAGTTCATTTTGCGACTTGAAGCATGATCACAGGAAGGTATCAGAGCATGTACCTGAGGCACATGAGCTAAACTTGTTACAAAAGTCTCTCTGGTAAAAATGAAATTCATGAGAAGACCATAGAGCATTGGACAGAAGTAGCCAGAAGAAGATGATAGGAAATAATATTTCTCAGATAGAAGCAAAAGCCTGTGTTTATGCTGTTTCCTCTTTTCTCCAAGATGCCACTAATAGGTAAAGTTCTTCTTCCTATGGCTTAATCACTTTAATTGATATTTTTGTGGGGGTGGGTAATTAGGTTTATTTATTTATTTATTTATAGAGGAGGTACTGGGGATTGAACCCAAGACCCTGTGCACGCCAAGCATGTGCTCTACCACTTGAGCTATATCCTCCCCCACCTTTACTGATTTTGAGCATCGTCTGACAGCTTTTCCTGCCCATCACTGGTGTATCCAGTACTTGGCCTCTCAGTAGAATCACCCAGATTGATTTCACGACTTCCTTTTTCTTCTATCAGTCAATCTGGGATGTCAGACATATCTCTGGAACCAAACTTGCTTCTCCCCATTCCCATCTTGTTTCTCAGACCCCTCCCACCCCTAGGGTATCAGCAGCAGCATGTGACCTACCTCTAGAAATGACAGAACCAGTTGCCAGTGTGAGCATAAGCCAGTGCTTGAAGGAAGTCCTTAAGATGGTGTAAGATGAAACAAAGAAGAACACAATGAAGAGAGAGAGCATGGAGCTTGGAAAGTGTCAACCAGAAGTAGGACAGTGAAGACCCAGGTCGTTGTTCTCACTCCTAATGACCATTCACAAGGCTAACCTTTGACTGAGAAGGTGGAGTAGAGACACAGAGAAACGGAGGGAAGTTAGAGGGTGTGACGATGGTGAGAGAGAGCGTGTGCTAACTGTAAGAACAATAGTTACCCGTTTCATCTCTTCGTAGCTCAGTATCAGGAAGTTCTCCTTCTCTCTCATGGACATCCAGCCACGAGTGTGGTCAAACCATGATCCGTATATCACTGCGTGGGGGCGGGGGGAGGCAGAGAGAGTGAGTAGATTACAAACTCTATGAAAGCAGGGACTCATGCATTAGCTTCACTCCTGTGGGCACAACTGCTAGCACAACGCAGGGCACATTTAGGCCTGTTATAACTATTTACTGAATAAATTAGTGTTATTCAACATTATACATTTACACTCTAATAAGCCTAGTTCATCTGGAGCAGATTTTGCACCCAGGTTTCAAGGGTCTCTAAGGGAGATCCTCTCCAGAGACCCATGTGTCCTGAGGACCGGCATTCCTGTTGCCCCTAGTCTGTTCAGCATTTAGAATTTTTGGTTGATAGGTACATTCCAACAGCCTTTGCTTTTTTTTTTTCCATTCTCCTTGTGTGGGAGTAACAGGGCACACATAGGCAAGATATTGGGAGAGTGGTGAGGTTTACAAGATACGTCTCCATCACCCACCACTACTGACTGGACTTTCCTGGATTTTTGGTGACAGCTGAAGCACAAGCCAGACTAATTTATACACCAAATGGCAAGATCAGCTCCAGCACTGGGCAGTTGTTCTTTTCATGTCTAGGTTTCCGCCATATGTTTCACTGTTGCTCTTTTTCTGAAGGAGTAACCCAAAGCAAAGCAGGAGACAGGGCTCAAGAGTTCACCCAGGATCAGCTCAATAAGAACTATGACCTGCAAGCTTTGAAGATTGGACTTTAATGC